GACGGACGGACAGACAGTCACCGCTTAATCGATTTCTCTTTTCATTCTGATCATTTATGTATACATTTGTCTATATCTATCTCGATTCGTTTTGCCTGTTACAAACAACCGTTATGTGAACAAAGTTATAATACCCTTGTGCACAAGTGCGCTCGGGTATAAAAATCATTTTTGCACATTCGATAGTTTGACATGGTAGCGACAATATGTACATTACACGAAAAAAAGAAATATTTCTAAACTGATGAGTGAAATATTTTATGAAATAAAATTTTTATTCGAAAACAAGGTTTTCTCTCATTAAAATGATGTACACTAGATGTGTGTAAAATCTGAAACGGTATTTATGAATAAAGAATATTCATGATAATTTTGGAGACGAATTCGAATTCGAAAAGAGGAGGAGCATTTGATCTACACAGAAAAATTAATAGAGGTATATAACTTCAAAAAAAAAGTATTTTTCTGATCTAGCGAGATCCGAAATGGTATGACTGAAGAGTGTTTATGTCCTTTATAAAGATAAATCCTACTTCCAAAAGATAATGCGCAATCGCTCTAAACAGAAGTCTATAATTTTGCTCATTTCTGACAAATTAGTCAACAAAAAACTATTGACTAATCTCTCCAAATGAAGAAAATTTATGGAGACCTAAAGTTTATGGAGCTTAAAGCTCAGTTAGTTTAGACTTAACTTAATTTAACTTACCGTAAGAAATCATCAATGAACTCAACACGTCAACTTAAGCCAAGAGCGGAAATATTCTGCTTTTGTATTTTCTTTGTTTTTAGCAGTTTAACAGCTCGCCGCCTAAAATGCCACATTAATAAAATTCATGCAAACAAAGATGTTGGCGTTCATTTAATTTAAAAAAATACAAAAACGAGAGCCTGGCAAGCCTGATTCTCTCACCGTTCTCAATTTCCGTAAGGCCGTAACTTAAGAACTTAAAATCTACAGGTTCTTAAGTTTCTTACGGTTAGTTAAGTTTTAACACAGTTTCTCATATAACACGTTGTCCAAAATATTAAATTCAGTTAAGTTACTGAAATTAAGTCTAGACTAACTGAGCTTTTAAATAGCTTTATAAAGTGACATTTTCATAAGAATTTCCGATTTATAAACCATTAATTTTTTATGAATGAACCATGAAATGGAGGAGAAAACATTTGTACAAAGTTTGAAATTTGCACTTATTTATATGGTTTTTGTTAGATAAGGAGCTGAACTTTAATAAAAAAATGATGAACCTTAAAAAAACAAAGGAAAAGTAGGCAAAACTGGTAAAAATCTTAATGTGCTATCTTTTATCGCGGGCTGTATATATGTATGTATGTATGTCCTACAAAAAACTTGTAACGATTTTTGTTACTGCTACAATTAAAGCAAGGTAATTGAGGTTGCTTTGTATACATTTTCTTTTGGCGTATCAATTCCAATTATTTAATAATTGAATTATTCAATTACAAACCTCACAAATTCGGAAAATATACCAAAAACCAGAGCGGTGCTTGTGAACAAATGTGAGCAGTACGAGCATATGGTACGTGAAACCTATGCTAACAAGTAAACGTGCGACATAATTGTGCCAATTCAAAACTAAAATCAGAGCGAACTGGTACGAATAACATATGTACATGCATACATATGTATATATGTATGTATCTATATATGTATGTAGGTACATATGTATCCACCGCGAAATTGCATATTCAGAATGAGAGGCGCCTAACCAGAAATATAGGCAACGAATGGCATCTCTGTACAATAGGGTGGTCCAAAAATACATGCGGGTGGAAAAAAGTTTAAAATATTAAGTCTGTTCACTAGGATTTTTCTAAATAGGAAAAATAAGACTCGTATTTTTGTTAAAAAAAATATATTTTGAACTGTCTCAAAGCCCATTAAGTTTTTCATGTATTTATTTTATATACATAGGTTAGACACGTTTTCGTAGAAATGGTATAGAGTTCTTGAAAATCAATATTTTTCGACCCGAAAACTCTATTCCTATTTAGGGTACTTTCACTAACAATATGCAATAGTTTTTATTTTGCCATTTTGAACGCAAACAATTTTTTGCGTCCCCCATTGCATTTTTTGTGTTTCTTGAGGGACCTATAAAAAATATTTAATATCAAAAAATGTTAAGTCGACAATTTTGTATTTTTTTGGGAGCCTCCTGAAAAGAAACGGAATTTCCCGATCGAAAAATATTGATAATGCTGTATTATTTCTACGAAAAAGTGTTTTTCTCCATATAAAATACTTGGAAAACTTTATGGGCTTTAATGCAGTTCTAAATATCATTTTTCTTTTTAACAAAAATATACAGACATTCTTTTTTCCGCTTGGAAAAATCTCAGGGGGTGAGAGCTTAACATTTTAAACTTTTTTTGGACCACCCTAATGTGCATACTTACATATGTTTGCAGAAGTGCTCCGAAATGTTTCCAGATGCAGTCATACATATACATACATATATATACCAAATCATTGACGTGCAGAATTTTGATATGTGAGCCCGTTGAGTGTCAGTCTTTATTTGAGCAGGTTTGCTTTCATTTCGACTGCCAGCAGGTACCTATAATGTAACTCTTAGAAATGTGCACGGAACCCCTCAAAACTTCCGATTTCGTTGCTGTGCGAAATCGAAAGGGAAGGTAAAAATTTCATAAAATATTATGGATTGCAATTTTGCTTTCTATGTATATACCATTAACTTGTACTAAAGCTATTGAATTTTTAGGTCAATGAATATCCCATAGCAAATTTAAGAAACTATGTTTTTCAAGCGTCGATTGAAGGAGAAAACTGCATTTTACCATTCTATGTTATAAGTGCCACCCACTCATTGGCATTCGCCACTGTAAATGCATCTTCAACTGGAAGATCATCTGGAAACAAAACGTTGAAGAAAGATCCAGTTAAAATATGGTAACACAACCTTAATAAAGCGGACAAATTGTGTGCTACAGTGTCACAGTTTGCTGAACGTTCTTAGAAAAATCTACTATATATCATTAATGAAAAGCTTTTAAGAGTACAGTTAGTGGCGTGTAACTATGTAAATTACTGGCTTGTTGTCATCTTTAATGACCAAAGTACTCGGAACCGTACTCAACCAGACTGCTATATATCGACTATCGCATTTGAAAATCGTTTTACAGTTACCCCTACGAACGGTAACTGCTAAGTTGTAGGGAAAAACGCAGCGTGTCAAGAACCAATTTTTGATGGCGGCAGATGTCGCTTCCGGCGAGCGCCTTCGGGCTAGTTAAAAGGTGCAAATCCAGCGTTTAAACCGCAATCTGGCAAAAGCTGGGTAGTTTAATAGAAAATGCTGAGAAATATCCACCTCGTCGTCTTTCATATAGCTCTGAAAATGTGAATCAAGGATTGAGAGCTACAGGCAACAACTATTTTCTCAGATGACCAAATCGCAATTAAATGATCCCATTGTTGGGTAGCTTTCTCAAATATAAGTAGATATGCCTCTGAAACTTTCTGGATTCCCGTTTAATGTGGATACTCGGTCCAGTGTAACTGGGAAGCACGTCAACTACCAAGAATTGGTTCATATCCGTCTGCCTCCTACGATGCTAGTATTCACCTTACAAATTGTAGGTATGGTCATATGAAAAAATTACATTGAAATTACACAACGTATATGTAGAAAAGTTTGTCTCCAAATGAAATTTCACTTCGTTACGAGGCACAGCATAAATCATACTATATTGTAACTGGAAAAAACAGATTTTTTCAGTCTGAAAACCCCAAAAGCCACGCTCTTCTGAATCGGCTCTCCTGCAAATGACTATGTACTGTTGCAGACTATGCTATGCTGTGTCGGACATTTTCTATACGACTGCCCAACCTTGGCTAAACTAAGACTTTTCAGGTAACCATAAATACTTTTCCGCTATCTATCAGACTTAAGTTCAAGTAAGTTCTGTATAGCACTTTACAAATAAGCCAATGATGTTTCGACAATTCAACAGACCTACTACGTTTTTTTTATAAGTAGTACGCATCGAAAGCCTGAGCCCCGTAACTGCACGGTCCCACACCGCCACATTTAAGTCGAGATACAGGGTCGTACGCTGTGGTGCAGTGGTAAGCAGTGCGCGCTTCCACTCCGCAGCACCTGGGTTCAAGCCCTGGTCAAAGAAACATCGCAAAAATTATAGAAAAAAGGTTTTTTCTCAACAGCGGTCGTCCCTCAGCAGGCAATGGCAAACCTCAGAGTGTATTTCTGCCATGAAAAACAGCTTCTTATAAAAATACAATCACCGTTCGGAGTCGGCGTAAAACTGTAGGTCCCTCCTCCTCCTCCCTCGGTCAAACACTTACACATGTGTAAGCGCCAATCTATTATTATTATTACAGGGTCGTGCATACGTATTGTTGTCCACAGAAACAGCGCTCCGTGAGATCGTGGCGCACATAGAAAGATCACCATCTTTTAAGCCACACAGTCTTGTAGCATTCAGCAACATCTTAGCCTCATCCGTCACGACGGCGTTACCGAATCTGGGCGTCGATTCGTTACTGGTGGAACTTGTAGACCAATTACTAAGTCGCAGGGTAGTTCAGGCCGACCTGGTAGAGATATCGACGACTAGATTTGTCCTATCTCCTCTCCTATGGATCTTGGCGGTAAACCAACTGCTCAGAGCCATTGAGGAGGACGACCTCGCATTATTCGTAAGCGGAAAATTGCCGCAAACATTATGTGACGTTATGTATTTCCTGCTAAGGAGGGAGGAAAAGTGGGCTTACGAAAATGGCCTAGGATTAAACCCAAGCAATACTCAGCAGGTTCAAGGGTCCAAAATCAAAGATACTTACTATGGCGAATACGGAACTTACAATCAGTGAATCTGAAGAAATTCAACTGGACACACAACATATATGAACGTATGCGCAAAGCTACGGTAGCCCTCTACACCTATAAAATCGGCCTTAAATGGGGTTTGTCCGCCAGAACGGCCCATTGGATATACATATAGTGTCGTGGTTAGGCTAATACTTTTATATGGAGTGGTGGCCTGTTCTGCCACCATCACGCTACAAAAAGGGCAGAGGTCGGCCCTTCTTAGATCAGTGGGGCCCTACGCACAAGGCCTACGGAACCGATGAATGTGATGCTATACGGATGCGAATTAGTGAGGTGATACCTCAATTCTTGAAGTGCTTACTCTGTCGGCAACGATCTTGACAAATGGTAAAAAGTAGAAATTCTCAGTAGAGAACAATGGTGTCCGGGCGTCCCTGGAGAGCGGCACTTCCACACTGACGTATCCAAATTGGATAACAAGGTCGGAAATAGAGCTTACTCGGAAGAAATAGGAGTTCAAAATTCATTCCGCCTTCCGGACTACTGTAGCATCTTTCAATCCGAGCTCGCGGCTACATAGGAGACTACCGAATGCTTAAGGACGGGAGTAGTAGGTTTCAATCACATCTACATCTTTTCAGGCAACGTGATGACAGATCAGTTTACTCTTCACCAAGTATGGCTGCGTGACACAGAGGTATACCAGGCATTAAGAGGGCGGATGGGCTTACAAGGAAGGGCACTTCCCTTCCACTTTCGCCGTTCTGGAAGAGATTGGGCATGCCACTCACTACCTACAGACTCAATATACAAGTATTCTTCTTCTAAGAAGCAGGCGCAAAATAGAAAGAACTGGAAACCTGCTGTACGGCAAAGCTTATGTGTCCGGAATGAGATGCGAAAAGATCGAGATGCCTTGTGGAACCACAACGGGCCCAATAATAGCCCTAAGTGCGCTGGTGTGTATACCTACATATACCAGCAGCCACTGCAACCTAAGGCTTTCTGCTCATTGGTCGTCCAATCATAGTTGAGTCATAGTTATCGTCATGAAGCAACGATTACATGACGATTACACTTCTGCACACTTGGTCGTGATATTTCAATTCATTTGGCGTCTAAAAATTCACTTGGAGCAGGTATTTTCTGTTTTTTTTGGTTGATATTTTCGCGAAATATTTACAAAAACCTGCAATTTTTTAAATATAGACTGTGCTGCAACATTTCTAGACGTAATTTTCCAGTAATATCTCTTCTTTTCTTTTTCTGGAATGTGTTTTGTGTATGCACACAGAGACTTAATACAATTTCGTCATATTTTATAGTTAAAACGCTCATATTTATTAAATTTTAATGCAATTATCCACTTTTTAATAATTTCCACAGATTTTATGCAAAAAAATACTAATTTTTATACAATTTTAATGCAAATATTAACTTTTTCACTAATTTTCCCCCATAAAATGTAAACAAACAATGCGTGCACAACGATTAGCAAACGACAGTGCCGTACTTATCCGTTTCTGCATCTTCTACGATTTGCCGATAACTAGCCGATAACGACAAGTGTGCAGATCTCCTTTGAAATGCATGTGCTCGGCTCAAAATTTTAGGGCGAGACGATAACGCAACTATGATTGGACGACAAGTGTGCAGATAGCCTAACCTAACCTAAGCGGCTTTAAGTTTTCCATTTGAATTTGGCATATCTGTATGTGTGTATGTATGTATATAAGTATGTGTGTGTGTTCGGATAGGCATTCCAAGATTATTCCGCGTATATGGCTACGTTACGTGTACATATATAATTTCGGCTGAATTTTCGGTTTGCACAATTCGTAGGTATGTATGTGCTTTACTTGCATTTTCAACAACACATACATACAAGCTTTTATTATGCCGCTCGCCGACTTGCTTACCAAAGTTTTGGTGCAGCCAAAAGTTGCGCACGCTAATTTGGGGCACAAACACACAAAAGAGACTGGCTTACAAAATTTGGTAGCTGAATTGTATGCGTTGCACTTTATCATAAAGTAATTAAGTGAGTATTTTAAGTAGAGCTTGGATTTATTTCTTCTTATTTGTCTTATTTAAATTGAAATTTTTTGTTTGTTTTTGCTTGTCGTTGCGAATTCGCTTGCGTCCAACAAAAGCAAAATCACCAGAACGTAACGCGAAGTTTTGATGAATATTTGCATTGACTTTTTGAACCACTCACTCACTAGCGACCTTATGGCTACTTAGTCCTAAACTACAAATATGATTTAGTTGTTTTCGTTTCGCTGTGCTTGCAGTTTGTTGATCGAGATCTTCGCTCATAAAACGAAAAATGAAAATCTGCTGCAGAAAATTATTCAGCGTGAAATTTTATGTGCAAATTAAAGGTTGCGCGTTAATGATTCGATTGCCTAATGATTGGCAGTGGTGAACAAGAGATAGTACCTATTTAGTAAGATTTACTAAATTAAAATGCGAAGCCGTGGGGTTACAAAAGAGGTGGTAATACATAAATGTAAAGCGTCATTGTTGTAGCGGTTATAGTTTTTTTTTGTTTTTGTACAGTAAGCAAAAAGTAGGTAGCACAATTATTTTAAACATACTTCGTATTTTTTTTGTTTTTCTATGTTAGCGATTTAAAAGTTTTGAACAGAAAAATTATTTTTTAAACAGATTTTAAATCAATTATCATGTTTGCTTCTGTTATTCGTTAGCTTTCAAAATGTACGAGATTCAAATGCCACCAGACGCAACGTGTTAAAAGGGTAATAAATATGTTTGTTTTTTGTTACCGAACTATGAAAAAGCGTCTATGAAGTGCAGAAAGAAAATGTATTCGTACGAAAAAATCGCCAAACAAAAATCTGTGTAAAGTTAACAAAAGATCGATATATATTTTCCGCAGTGGAATGTAATGTTTAGTAAAACAACTTAATTTTTTTTAATGCGATATATTTGTTTATTTTCATTACGTGTAGTTGAATTTCGCTGTACTCTTTCGAACAGAAAACACAAAAAATTCTAAATATGGCATCCAGTATTCTGCCTGAAAAGCGTGAAAAGGAAAAGTACTCAAAACGGGTTTTTATTGCTTAAGGGAAAGATGAAGAAGAACCCATGGACTGTGTGTTAAACTTTACTACGGCCAGCTTGATCGCGTATACGGAGACCAAGGCCGAAATAATACCCTCCTTTTTTGTAGTAGAGCGCTTGGCTTTGAACCACTTACAGCTGTACGAAGTCACTAGCGCCAAAGCATTCATCTCCAAGCTTTCCTGGCCTTTAGAAAAAAAAACACATTCAGTTCTTAAAGCAGCAAAAGACTCAGAACAAGCGCTGCCCAACCGCTAAGTTAGCAGGCACAACTGGATACATTATGTTCGAGAAACCGTATCGGTGAGCGCTAATACTGCTACACGCGGAGTCCATCGGCTTCCTCGCTAAGGGTCAGGGAGTCATAACCTATGCTTTCGAAAAGCTAGCCCTACCCGCCATTCCGAACCCAGAGATTCCCGGAGGTGCTAGTGTGAGAAGAGTGCGGAGCAACGCACGTCAAAGGCCGAAAGAATTTGTGATGCTCCATCAACTGCGATATTCGTCATCAGCACAGATTTAAATCATTTTCAAGGTAATTATTTTATATGGCCCCTATGTCAGGTGGAATTTAGTAAAAAGTTTACTTAATTTGAAAATTAGAGCACGTGCAAAAGGCTTAACCTACTGGCATCAGCGCTTAAGGCTATGCTTAGCTCGTAGACATTGCGTTTAAGGCTGTCGCAGTCCGCTCCGCCATCAGACTAAGAACCTCTGCTTTTTCCAGCAACCTGCGTAATGAGAACTTGGCATTCTTTCAAAACTTTGATTTCATACCGGTAGAAACATATCGGCACTTGCCGAGGCTTGCTTCGAGCAGATTTTTCTCCATACACATTCCTCTAAGGGATAAATGGCAGAGTTGCAGCGTTGCAGCTTCTGAATTAACATATTCCCAGATGGGTCGAAGTTATACGATAGAGTGGGAAGAGCTATGTACTTTCAGAATCTTTCCAAAACTCTCCTTGAATCTCATATTTATACTGCCGGACTTCTGCAGCGTTTTTTAGCCAAAAGTAATATTTACTCCATAAGCAAAGCGCCTATCGTATTACTTCTGACTTGCGTCCCAGGACATAGTGGCATTATAGGAAGCTGCAAAGCTAATAAATCGGCTAGGCAGAGTACCATTAAGATCATCTCTTCAGACAGGACGGATGTAGGAGTTCCAGTAGCAACTTGTGAACTACTCATGGACAGATGGGCTTATATTCGGCTCAGCGATGTTCAGGGAAACCCCCGATATGCAAGGTTACAAAAATCGTCTGGACGATGGTCGACCGCATTCGTTCAAAGGCGCTTCAGCAGGCGGCTAAGATGGCAGGTGTCCTGACCATGTACTGTCCCTTAAAACCCCATCCAAAATGACTTAATATCGTACCGGGCCATTACTTTCGCAGCCACTTGGAGGATGACGATGTGGAATCATCTCGGCATTTCCTTCTGAGCTGCCCTGGTTTCTCTGAACTTAGATTTAATCATCTCGGCTTTTATTTCATCAACCCTCTAGAAGAACTCTCTGAGGTGGAGATCAGCTGGAGCCCGCAACATTACCATTATCATTAGAAT